ATATGACTCTCTGCCCTAAACTCAGCTTTGTAGGTGGGTCTTAACCAAGAACATCTTAGTAGGTAGACTGAGGTTGTGGGTGGATTTGATTGGATTCTTGGTGAGTTGAAGAGCTAAACTGAACACATTGTTCTCTAATTTTGACCTGTTTATTCCACGCTGTTAGTTTAGTCCAAACAGAGCGCAACAGTTCTCTCTTGTGTCTTTTCAGCTCTTTGAGTGCTGTCAACAAAACACAACATTGATCAAGTAAGATATATATGACATATATACTAAACCATGAGTGGAATAAAGCTTTGCTTTACAGCAGGTGAACATCCTCTGTTTATGCTCCTTGACTGCTGGGATAGCCAACCCTGATAGGGGTAAAGTGATAGGAGATGAATGAAAGAACAATACTCCTCTTGACCTGCTGGACAAATGTGTGAGTAATAACACAGGCACGGTTTCTTCATCTAATCTTGGCTGGACAGGACACAGTGAGGACTTATCATCCTAGGGTTTGTGGCTCCCTGGGAAATGAAAACAGTGCAGTCACATTCTGCAAAATATGAAATATTTTATTAGTTTTGGACTCCACCTGATTTAATCTGCAGACAAAGTAGGTTTGACCTTCTCGAAAGAATCGCTTCTCATGTGACTAGTTCATTAGTGAGAGCAGAGCAGAGGTGGGGAATATTTACCAGCTGTTCATGTGTTAAAGCTCTGTGTTGCAGTTGGTTATTAAATGCTGACCATTTAGGATCCACACTTGTAGACCCAGAGACGTTTTGGCATTCCTTTTTTTTCCTGTGGCATCTTTAAAGAAGGAAAATGTTCTTCTCTGTAGTGAATAAACTGGTGCAAAGTTACACTGGAAAAACACATGACATGGACCTGCGTGTCAGCAAACTTGCTCCTAGTAGTCATATTTCATTTTTATTCAGCCGCCTGTTTGTGTGGAGTCAGATTTTACAATACTTGGTAGTTTAGTGATGCTTCAGTTATTGACAAATCTGTGTCAGGTCACACCAGGTCATTTAAGATCGTTTTATTGGCGTTGTCTCTGTCTTCACTTGTCTTCTTGTTTCTTAATGTGACGACACACGTGTGGACATTTTGTGACGTCTGTCTTCTATCTGTGACTAAGAATTGACTTTTTGGGGAGATGTTGGCAGGTTTTCACACATTGAGCAATGCTTTCCCCCTTGTGTTCCTCTTTTGGGGGGGGGGGGGGGGTACGAGCTTTTGATGGGACTAATTGGAGTGTGCAAGTCACCAGAGCTAAAGTGCTCCCGCAGGGCTTCTCTTTCTCACTTTCTCTTTTCTTGGCTTCTCCCCTCCTCCAACACGTAGGCTTTTATTTTCATTTGCCATATCAAGTAAACAACCTGTTAGTGTAAATTAGGCTCCAGTGAGTGATGAAGCAACACATACACTAAAACCCTCTCTGCCCCCCCCCTCCCATCCCCCCACCTCTCACCAGCACACTCTTAGAGCTCTTTTTCCTCTTTTGTCCCCTTAACCTCTCTTCTGCCTTATTTGGCACGTGGCCCTTTTAGAGACATTGCTAGTCATGAGTGTGTGTTTGAAGACAGGAGTGGACAAAAAGCCCTGGTGCAACCTTGAGGTGGAAATTAGTAATGATAAAAATAATTACTCCCCCACCCCCTCGCCCACCCCCCGACCTAGTTTTCATAATGGAGAACGATAGCCCCCAGTTGCACGCTGTGTGTGAGTTTAAGTGTGTATAATCACGCCTGTATGTGTTCCAATGGAGGAAGGGGCTGCAGCACCACCCTGACACAATGGGAATGGATGTAGGACAGGACCTACATGAAGAAACCACCGAGGCCAGGAGGTCGAGCCTGTGTGTGGCTGTTGTCACATACTGATCCAGGTGAAACAGATGGTGTCTGCTCTGCATCCTCACACACACCTGTGTCAGTGTTCAAGCTGTCTGAGCTCACCTTGGACACGTGTACATGGTGTGAGTGTGCATTTGAACAACTTGAGTAAATATATTTAGCATGGAATGGACAGTGACAATGGCAGCTCTAAACAAAGCTGTAAACACACATATTATATGAGCAGTTTTGAAATCCTGCGACATAATAACAATAAGTGAGGACCTCAGGGTGTGTGTGTGTGTGTGTGTGTGTGTCACATTCCATTCACATTAATGTGATGCATCTTTATGGCCCTGTTCAAATGCATGCCTCTGGTCTGAGGACAGAAGCACAGGAGCATTAAAATGTTATTAGCGGTGCTGATGTTGACAAGCAAACATAATCTGTAAATCTGGCATTAGCAGACTAAAGCCAGGTCCAAGCAGCATACAAATGCAGCATAAAGAACATTAAGCTAAAGGTGCTCTTCTTGTCATATGGGATTGTCTGTGCATATCCATATAACCACTGTAAAGTGACAGTGTGCTGTCATCTGTCAGGATTAATGCTGTCTTTGTGGAGCAAACCATTATGACAGAGCACTAGTCACAGTGGGAATAAATACAGAAACAAATAGTACATAAAGATACAGCGTGTTTACCTGAATACATAGAGCTGTAAAATTATGAATTATGACATTATGCTATACATTATTTATCATTACTGTGCAAAGACTGACTTTCAACATTTTGAGATTAAAAATATATATAATTCAGAGGTAAATAATACACTGAGCATGTTTTGCAATAACTAATGTGAGCATGGACATAATCCAGCCTTGAATGGAGACTATAAAAGTTTCTAATCTTCCTACAGGAATAATATCCACACAGTGCCTTTGTGGCGGTGTTTCTTTGTCACTTCACTCCTCTGTTGACTTATTCATAGGCCTTTGTTTTACCTTGTGGCTCACAAGGTAAAACAAATATGTCACCGATGGATAACTGCTGCCTTTAATGTAGAACTGAGCGACAGAAGACCCTGAACAAAGTCCTTAACGTTATGTCCTCTGAGGATGTGGAAAACATAATATCAAGGGTTGACCGCCTTAGAGTTAAACATTAAAATTTTAAAAGTTTAAAGATTAAAAGTTTACAAAGACAAACGTCTTGGGAGTCTTTTACTGTGCTGTAAAAATACTTCAGCTTTTAAATAGAATTTGTTGTTCAGGAGACAAGTGTTTGATAATGAATAAAAACAATCTAAAGGTAAATCCTACTGCACAGTATATTTGATTTGATGAAGACTTAAATCTGAAGTTACAGTACATAGCCAATCACACCTGCACATTAGGTCTGAAGTTCTTCTGGAAGTCTCACGGCTGAGTTAATGTAGCTGCATTAATTAAAAGTTAACGGCGGGCTGGGAGATAACTGTGGACTGACTGTGAGGCACAACAGAGCAGAGCTCTGATAACTCCTGACCTCACTCTCTAATCACTGGAGACTGGGTCACCAAACTGACCTCAGAGAACAACAGTGAAGGACACACACTGTTTTACAAAGTAACTCTATGAACCACTCCTTTTTCTTTATTGTTTTATATACAGTAACTGTGGGTAAAAACAAAGTCTTCACATTTATCATATAAATCATTGCTCAACTTTTTGTTCTTTCTTTTGAGAAGAAATTTAGGCAAAATACTTGAGTGAGACTGACTATAGTTTAGACTGTATCTGTGATCACACAAACATTATTTGATATAAATTTGTTGTCCCTAAACTTTGTGAGTGAAAAACTGTAGAAACCCATCCATCCATCCATTTTTATCCACTTATCTGTCACCAGGTCGCGGGGGCAGCAGTCTCCATGACCACTGCACCGTAGCAACCCTCCTGAACCTTCCTGTGGTGAGTCCACTGGAAGGTACCGTAACTGCCCTAACTGGGATTCGAACTTCCACACCAATGACAGAGACATAGCAGAGACAGAGACAAAGCGCCACTGTAGAAACTTGGACTTAACTATTATATTTGGTGCAGAAATGAGAACATCTTGTCATGAGTATTTCTATTTCTTATTGCTGTTGTGTTATTGCCAAGTATCATGAAACAGCTCATAAAAGCACACAACTAAATGGTCTTTGTAAGAATGAAAAACTGTTGCTTTCCTGTAAAAATCTTACTAGTGACGGTAGGAGAACAGTTCAGTGTCAGGCTCCGTGTGCCCCTGGTGGACTGGGGTGAAGTAGTTTCAGCATCCTAACAAATAAATCCTACATACCCTCTTCGCTCTTGAGTAAACTTGAACTACAAAGAAGTTTAACCACGTGTGTCTGCATCCATCTCATGTTTATATGGATCCATCACGTCTGTTGTATGTAGTAACTGTGTGTTGGTGTGTGTGTCTTTCTGCGTGATCTCTGAGTTCAGACTGTGGTTGGGGCTTCTGGCCACGATGGTCTGTGTGTATCTGTGTGCTCCTGTTGTGGGACAGTCAGTCTGACTGAACATGATGCAGCTGATAGTGTGTGAAGCCTGCTGGCTGGGGAGTGTTTACATCTGTAATAGGCACTTAACCACAGAAACCCAGCAGGCTGTTGGAGAGACCAGAGGAGGCGCTGAGTGGTGTTAACAGCGAGATCCTGCCTTTACTTTGATAATGTATTTAATGTGGGGTTTTTTTTTTCTCTTTGGCGTTCGTACCAGTTGAAGGTATTGTATGACAGAGTATTAGTTTTCTTTAGGTGCATATCTGCAGAGGTGATAGAGAAAGATTCATGTTGTCCTGTACTTTTTCTACATGTACCGTGAAACAGTTGGTAGGATGTGGGACGTGTAAAGAACATGAGAGAGATACTGATCCATCATCTGAAGAGTAAGGACAGGATACTGTGTCATGACTCAAGTCTTTTGCTTAGTGCTGAATTACTCGTCAGAGGTTACACACAATACTCTGGCAGGGGGATGAAGTTGTGTATTCCAGTGGAAAGGGGGATTCCAGTGGAAACCCAGTCAAAAACTACAGCAGTGAATTGGAAAAACAAATGTGATTTATTTTTTATTTTCCTCTAAAGACAAGGAGAAACTGTGAGGTTCGGGTTTGGAAAGGAAGATTTCAAAGAGAGGGAGAGAGCAGCGGGGTAGGGGATTCAACGAGGGAGGGAGAAAGGAGGTGTAATAGTGGGTGGGAGCGCAGGAGACTGTCTGCTGGATGGGCATAAAGACAAAGGGAAGACAAAAATAGTGATAGAGACCTGTCGAGGGGGCTGGTTAGTAAAGAAGTAACTGATGAATGAACAGAGACAGAAGACATCCACAGCCCCGCAAAGAAGGAAGTATGTTTTTTTTTTGTTTTTGTTTGTTTTTTTGTTTTTTTGTTAAGTGCAGAAGTAGAAAGAGAAGATAGATGGTGAAAGAGATTTAGGAAAATGACAGTAATAGACTGTCAGGGAAAAGAGGGAGGAGAGAAGAGCTGGATGAGAGCGAAGGAGGCCGTCTCATAGAGTGCTTATAGCATGCGTGGAGCTGGTGTAAGAGTGAAAGACAGACAGAGAGAGGGAAGGAGAGAGGGTGGGAGGAGAGACGGAAACAGAGGGAGGGGGTGAGGTATTTAAACGGAGGAGCAGGACAGCACAGACGAAGCTCTGAACTCCCAGAGAGTGAAGGTAGGACAGGGAGAGGGGAGAGCAGGAGAACAAAGATCAGTTTTAGTTTTTTTCCTCACTGCCAATCCCACTCACTTACATCCAAAAATCCCTCCCATGCAGACACACTCTCTCTTCTTTCACGCACTTTTGGACTTTTGAGCAGCAGCTGTCCACTGGAAAATCTACCTGTGTCCTCCTTGCCTCCACTCATCACTCTCCTCACCTCCCTCCACTTTTAGTCCCTCGCTTGGTGTGGGGGCAAATGGCCAAGGTGTGGCCCACCTTAAGAGGGGCCATAGGCTGTGCCCTGCTGGCCCTCGTACTGGCTAGCAGCAGCATGGATTTTGGGGCACCCCCAGCGAGCTTCTACCCCCGTTTCAACCCCTTCTTTTTCCTGTGCACCCACCACGGGGAGCTGGAGGGAGCTGGGGTGACAGAAGGTGGGGGAGAGGTGCTACTCACCCTCCAAATTACGGGCAACCCCACTGCCTACACCCCAGGACAGGAGTACCAAGGTGAGCGCACCCCAGTGGTGTCCACTCTCTAAGTGCATGCAAATGAAAATTGAATTGTTGTTTTCTCAGTTTTTTAGATTTTTAATTGATTTCAAGTTCACTTACGAAGAATATAAAACACTGTTGTAATGATGTTCTGCTCTAAGGAAAACAACATGTTCCCTTGGCCATTGTTTTATTCAAGACCAAATTCTGCCATATATATATATTTATTGCATATATACATTATTAAATTTGTAAAACCAACAGGATGAAGAAGAGATGTTCGTAGTCTTCATGTGTTTAGCCCTTGATGCACTGCTGTGCAGTTTGTGTGGGGTGGCTGCCGTAGGAAACTAACATTTATGTAACTAATAAGTAGTGATGCTGAGTGGGACTCCTGTTGAGTGCTGGGAGCAGCTTTGATGTTTCACTGAGCTGTGATCCTGTGTGTAGGTGGCTTCACCACAGGACTGAGAGTGTGATCCCACCAACTGAATGAGAGTGAGAAAACGGCAAGTGCGAATGGACAAAAAATAAAATTAAAAACAATGTAATGTATAAATGAGATCTTTCTACTGAGGGTGGACGTTGTCAAACAATGCTTGGAATTTCAAGCACTGATGCAGATCATCTTCATCATCTTCTTCTTTCCCAAAATGATGTGCTGCTACCTGAGCTTTAAAAACAAACAAACAAAAAAATGAAGAAGCCCCCTCTGACCTCCCAAACCTTCACCATTGCTTAGTCACTAACTGGTACTTGACACTGCGGACAGTGACCCACACTGACATCATGGACCCAGAGGTCACATTCCCATGCAGCTTTTAGACATGTTCTCATCTACTGTATAATATGGAATAAATTAATACACATTTATTTTTTTATCCACGTTCACGAAATTCCATTTTGTGTAGGCTACTGTTACAAACAATAGTGTCCTCTGTCATATGTTTGTTGTGTTTTGATTAATTCACTGTGGTAAACACAATATCAGCAGCATCGCGTTAGTAAGACAAATAAACCTCGTCACTGTGTAAAGAAAATGTGAAACTGTTTTCACCGGGGAAAAAGAGACGGCTACAAAAACCGGCACCGGAAGAAGAGTCTAGAAGATTCACTATTATCCCCTGACTGAAAACAACAGCTCAGATTGACCCTCCAACCAAGCACCCTTTAACAGGGGTCGATCTTGTCAAGAGAGTGGGTGTGGAGAGATTTGAATAACTAGCTGGTGGATGGGAGGGATAGAGCAGAAGGAGTTTTAAATAATTAGCATTAGAAACGCAAGGAACTGGGAGGAGGAAGAGATTTATTGTAGGCCACGGATGGGATGGGATGGGATGGAGTAGGGGGAGATTTAAATGACGACGACAGGATTGAGTTGATACGACACTGGCAGCGTGGCTCACACGATAAAAATGAGCCCTCCAAGCTGCTCACATTCCTCTGTTCTCTGTTGTGGTGTGTAATGGCAGTTCATTGTGGAATTGCTAAGGTTTTGGCAGCAGTGCTGACACTTTAGATGAAATCACACTCTCTTCATTCCTTTTAAACTTCATTCCTTTTAAACTTAAACTAAAAAAAATTCTACATACCTTGAAGTAAACTAAGTTTATTTACAGAGAGAAAAAAAGACATTTTCCCTTTGCTTCTATAAAGTTTTGTCCTCAATATTTATTTTGGTCAACAATTTTACTGTATTTTTTAACATTTAACAAACTGCTGGAAAGGCTGCATTTATCAATAGTGGGAGTCAGTCTTCAGAGATGGTGATAAGGCTGTAGAAGAAGCTGTGGAAAAATCAAAGAAAACAGAACTTTTCACTCAAAGGAAAGGAGGTTAAAAAATAATCAAAACAGAGTGATGACCCTGGGTAAAAAGACGTATTTGTGTGTATCCAGTTTATCACTCAGTAATTGGGTTTGTGACCCGACCGCACTGCCTCTCACTTTCCTCCTGCTAAAGTGATGGAGCCCTGTGTAGGCAGCACACTGTGCCCTGTGTGTTGGAGAAGTGATAACAGGCTGAACCATTAGAATGAAGTGACCAAGAGAGGTCGTGTTACTGTTTGAAACGTTTGAGATGGTGGGTGTTCTGGCAGGGAACTGAATGAAAACAGAAATACTGTAAAGAACGCCTGAACTGCTGGGAGGGTAGGGGTGGGGGGTGGAGGGGGGCTCTCTTTACAAGAGAGATGGAAACTAAGTGTCACTGAGATACTGCCCACATACAGACTATCTTCCAGAGAGAAGGAAAAAAACACAAGGTCACTGAGATTTAAACAAAACCTAATGATAACTGTTTGAACCACGTCTGCTAATCTCAGACAGCATTGCCGGGCATCCACGCAGTCATCTCTTCAACCTCTGACCTTTTCTAACACTGCTCTGGGAACGTGATAAGTTCCCTCTACTGCAGCCACACGTTCATTTAGGAAGCAATAATAGAGGAATAAAAACAAAACTGCGTTATTACAAAGTAAATCGATCGTTCTTCTTGTTTCTTGCCTTCCTGTATTGGTGCGTTCAGTCTCAGAGGTATAGTGACACAGCAGTGGGTGAACAGGAAGAGGCTGAATTCCTACTAACAGACTGTTTTAGTATCAGAGCATGGCCTTTCCAGTAAGTGCACTGGATCCAAATCAGGCGTAGAGGGGACACTACTGCTGTGAGCTCTGCAGTTGAATTGGAAAAGATTGCTTAAGGAATAGAATAGCAGCGTGGTGTCCGTTGTAAATCATTGGAGAATAGCTGGAAAATGGAGTTGCGTGAGCAGGCATGGGGCCATTGACATTGATTCAATGTCTTTGAATGTCAAGGAATTTGCACTATTTCCCTGTCAATTTCATCCTCCATTTGAAATGACGCCCCTTTGCACCGCTGTGCTTTCAGAAATGAGCATGTGTTTTTCATGTTGTCAATTAGTCTGTTAATTAAGTGCTTGTGTTGTGGATTGTTGTCAAATTGAAAGTCTGTCCATTTACATATAATGTAGAGGCTTTTGTCTGTATACAGATAATGGATGTAGGTGAATAGGCTGTTCCTAACAATGTCCACTGGGGTTCAGGTGCGTAGTCCAGCTGCAGCTTTCTGTTCATTGTTCCGACACACCATTGTCTGCAACAATGAAACAACAAGAGGTGAAACAGATGTTGGGGGTTTGATGGTGGGGGTGAGGGAATAGGGGTAAGAGAGAGAAGCTGCGTGTATACATGGTTGACATTACAGGCTGAAATCGCCATTACAAATATGCTAATTGTCTTTATTATTTTGAACGGTCAAAGAAGACTAGAGGTACAAAAATATTTATATCTGATCATTGATCTACTGTGAGTGAAAAGCTGTGGTTTCGTACATTTCTAATATATTTTTTTATAAAGTTTTACACATGGCTGAAGCTAAGTTGCCCACAGACCTTCTTCTTACCTAGCTGTAATGTGTTAAAGCCAAGGCAGATTGGAGGCATTCATCCTTGTTTTGTGATAATTGCAAATGGAAAGGTTCCATTTAGTTTTTAAACTAATGTGTTGTTACTTAAGAGCCGTTACTTATTGAATACACGGAATAAAAAAAACCTAACTGATTTGAATTAATGTCATTTATAATTGTGCAACTTGTAAATAAAAAGAAATGTGTTGTTATCTCAGCCATAATACACACTGTGCATTACTTCAACAACCTGTGCTGCTTTTACAGAAAAAAGGCCATTACTCACCGTTAAAGTTTATACCTCCTGATGACTGTGTCTGTAAATGAAACGAACGTCATAAACTCAAAGCACCAGAAAGCCTCAAAGAAATTAAACAGATATTATCAATCACTGCGTCGTTTCAGTCAAGCAGCAGCAGCAAAGAAAAAAACCACAGCCCATTTAATGACTCAATCAAAGTTGCTCACATTTGTCTTTGTCATTAGACTGAATGTCAAGGTGTTTTCAAACTGCTGCAATTTCAAACGGCCCATTAGATATCATCATCACCATCTCACCTCTAAGAGCACTGTTAAAGGTCAGCTCTGTGACCTCTGACCGTCTCCTGTCAGGTCCACATTGTTTGGTGCTCTGTTCCTACACAGAGATTAAGGTTTCTTTAGTTCCTTTCTCATTGTGCCATTCTTTATTGATTATCTGATGGAGCTGGAGTTTTGGTTGAGAATTCACTAGATGTCTGTGAAATTTTAGCAAAGGAAAACAATTATCTACATACAAGAATTGGTTAGTTGGTTTCATACTGTAGCGGTTAGCATGCCTGCCTCACTAGCAGAGAGCAGAGAGTCCTGGGTCCAATTCCCAGAGGAACCACATGCTTGGCACTTGCTAGGGGCAGCCTGTTAACAGCATTTCCCAAATATGGGATCCATGTAGTACAAATTTAAATTATTTAAAACATTGATCATTTTAAAATAACTGCATGTATTGCATGATTTCTAAATGTTTATCTTTGAATATTTATAGTTATAATTTCGTATTGTATAAAGCCAAGTAACAAAGACACTGATAAAATGTGTCAAAGCTGTTTGCCTTAAGAAATACATCTTTAAATCATTTACTTTGAAATGATAACCTGTGTCCTAGAACAGTTTGACTTATCCTCATACTTTCCATGAAGGCAGGGACCATGAAAACAGAGAGAAAACTAGGAAGTGAGTACTGGTGCTGGGAGCTGAAAGTAAAGAAAATGTCACCTGCATATACTGTAGCACCAACACTTTGGAATCATCTGCATAAATGAGCTCCGCTGCACTTGAGCCTCTCTGTTTCCTGCTGCTCTGTCTGAATAGATGCCTTCAATGAGTGGAGGGAAGTGTGTCAAGAGTACTGCTGTTTTTGAATGTGTTTGGATGTTCTCTTTGTGGACATTGAATGATGGACTACTTTAAAGAGCTTTGTATTCACTGATATATGCTAGTTTGCTTTATATGAGGGAGCAGATGGGTGAGAAATGAGAACAGATATTCATTTGGAATCTTCCCTTTGTCACACATGCATGCGTGGCCGTGTACTTGGCACTCAGCTCTGGG